ATGCTTCGTGGACGCGGCGCAATACGGTCTAACAGCAAACTTCTCGGTCCTTGCAGTTGACCACGCAGGTTGTGTTATTCACTCTGCGTCTATCAGGAACACCACTCCTGCTAAAGCTGAACAGGTAGCCATAGCTCTCGCTCCCCTTGACGACTCCCGGCAACACATCTATACAGACTCAAGAGCGGCAGTGCGAGCCTTTGCATCTGGATCGGTATCGGCTGAAGTAGCTTGCATCTTAGGTAATATAAATATTTCAGAACACACCATAATTTGGTTTTCGGCTCACCTCGGATCACATCTGGCCTCCATGATAAACCTAAACAAGATCGCCCACGCCCGAACACGCGAACTTACTCAGCGTGCTGGGCAGCCTGCGGGACCTTCAGACTCCAATGTAATGGTCTTTAGGGATGTTCTCCTCACTTTCAACTAGGTGACCAAACATTATCAGCTGGACAGAAGGATTTTCCCCTTCCTCATAGGCAACTTTGTAGGGCCTAGGCATCTACCCTCCGCATGCTTCAAACCAGGTCGTACCCCAGTCTTCGTTCCCACAGCCAGTTTATTGAAAGCATTAATGCAACATGCCCAGATTGTGGCGCCGTATCTACCTTAGAACACATGCTCTGGCAGTGCCCCTCATCATTCGATTCTCGGCACATGACCAAAGAGAAATGGAGCTCTACCCTCCGGAGCTCAGAACTTGCACATCAACTCTGGGCTGTCCAGAGGGCCCACGACGCGGCGGTGAGGCTCGGCCTACCCGTTCTGACGTGGGAGCGGCCCGCGGCTCTACCTCCTTGAGTTAGTGTTCCTCAGGACTTTAATAAAGTTCTGTGTCTGTCTATATGAAGCAAAGGTCCTCACAAGCATGAGAGTGTCGATGCAAAGGGGGTTTAGATGTGCTCCCTCCCTCCCCCCCAGTACATATGGCCTGTTTCGGTGCCCTTTTAACAGAGTGTTTTAGCTGCCAATAATTATGATTGTTCACGAAGCCAAGTTGTCTTTATCTAATACATTGCCCGCTGTAAGACCATGCATTTCTGCTTAAGTTTACAATAGAAAAGTACTTTGAAGCACATCTAACTTCAGGTATTGCATGTAATAATACCGAGACTATAAGTATAGCCTCACTGTGCTGACTGTTTTTTTTTCTCAGTTTTCATACCTACAATAATCATTTTAATTATTTAACCTCAAGTAAATAAATCATTTGCTATTTCTCACAAGCGCTTTTGGGTGTCACCTCTCAAGGATTATGACAGCGTGTGCTAGACATGCATGATAGACAGGCACAAAGAAAGCTGCATCAAAAAAAGCAAGCAGGGAAAGCCAAAGCGCATAGGAGTTCTTGCTTGCGTAGCGCTGTGCTTTCAGTACTAATTAACTGCAGCGCCGCCGCTACAGGCAACGTGGAAAGCATTAGGCAGCGAGGCACGGTCATGCCACTCAACAGTTCTAGTACACTAACTGATCTGTGCACGTTGTAATTTGTAGACTTGTGGGGTACCAATAGTGATCTCCCACTGTTATTATGATCGTTGACGTCAAGTGAAATAATTTCGCACAGTCAAAACAACTGCGTCGGGCCCTCACGTGTGTGCAAGCCTGTGACTGCGAGTTGAGACTGCGAACGACGCGCTAGCACATTCGTGGCGACGTTCTTCTTCGCAAGCAACAAAGCATATCACTCGCTAGCTTCTCAGAACTGCAAACAGGCATTTTAAGCATCGGCAGCGGACCCCACAGTCAAGCTTGTTCACCCCTGCCCCCCTCCACTGCCAAGAATTGCTCAGAACAGCGGCTAGCAGTTTTGAGCGACGTCACCCAAAAATGCGGTACCAAGCACAGAGCGTGCCGATTTTTCGTCATCGTAGCTACACATTTCGCGCATCGTCACCGAATGCCGCCACCAAGCGCATCACGTGCCAACTGCACTGTCCACGCCGCGCACTCCACGGTCCTACGGAGTGCTGTCAATAAGCTTCTTTAATGCGATTTACACGTGCTTGGAGCCGTGCATGGTATCGCCACGAGCATCTATGAATGTTTTGAAACAATGAAAGCCTCGTAGATTAGCACTTCCGTGACCGGCCGTACAATGGTGCGTTTCCCCGCTAGAGTAGCAAAAGAGCATGTATGAAGCAGCTTCATGAATTTTTATATGCCCGTCTTGCATCATTAAATAAACCGCTAAAAAATTCCTGTGCCACCAATCTTCTGCCCGTAACTTTCTTATTTGGAAAGAAGGCACAGGCTGTGATGGTGTGAGCCATTTTTTTATGCAATAAACCTCTCTATATGTAAAAATTTTCAGTGATCATTTGTAATCAAGTATTTATTTATGTTAATTAAAGGCACACTGGGCAGAGACCTGAGAAATGGGCAGAGACCTTTGACAAGCCTGAGAAGTCAAAGATTACAAGACAAGCCGGAGATCACAATTTTTAGGTGTTTTAGAGACGTAAAGAGAAGTTGAAACTATGAACGCAGTTTTTTCAACAGTTTTTTTTGCATTATGCTCAGCCCCTCCATGAGGTTCAATGAAGAAATAATTTGACACTCATCAAGTATTTGTGGTATCGCCTTGATATTTGTATGGTAGCATTGTGAGGCCATTTATAGTGTCTGTGCCAATTTTCATTATTATACAACCAGAAACCATAAGGTTCGTTAAAAAAAGCCTGTCGATAGCTTCAACAGGCTTCTTCTTTTAAGTGTCTTATGGACATTGTGCATTGCTCATGGAAAGTTTAGCCAGGAATGACTGGACGGATTTTGATGCAGTTTTTTTCCTGAATCCCAAAACAATTTTTGATTGTGTGAAAATCTTTGAATTCTTGTTTATGGCCCAGTTCTTTTTTTTTTTCCTCTAAAAGATGACTTGTACATGACACTGTTTCTGACAATGTGTGTAGGCCGCCATGATTACCTCTATATAAAAAAAGAAGTGATAAAAAAATTCTGAGATGGTAAAGTAAAAATCAACACTATTTGCAGCTTCCTGGCATGTTTTGTTACAGCGCTAGGCCTTCCACGAGCAGACCATATAAGTCGGACCATGTAGCACGATGTAACTTGAGAACTACTCAAGTTATCATGATGAAACTAGATATTTCCCTATTCAAGACACCCATGAGTATGCATGCCAGGTTTAATTGCTCTAGGTAAACAAACAAAAAACTTTTTTTAACGCCACCTCCCCCCTTAAAGTGTTCACGCACAGCGAGATTCAACTGTAGTGTATGGCGATAGGAAAGATGAAAATTTGTTTTTTTTTTAAGATTTTTAGCTACTATGTATTTTAGCCTTTGTTCGATTTCTTCATCAGAGAACAATAAAGAATTTATGTCTGGCCACTTAAGAGTTTTTATACTGCAGAAAAATTTGAAAATCGCACTTTTACTTTTGGCTCAGGATAGGAAATCATAACGCTTAGTGTCATCTTTTGCTTTAGTTAACTGTGTGTTTGAATATGGCTATTAAGTTAATAGTCACTCCAGTTATAGTCACAGTTTTTCGAACACTGGTAATGTAATAAGCTTTCCAGGCTGCATTCCTTCTCCTACAATCGCAATCTACGTTCCACTGAGAATCGAACCAATGATTTTTTTTATTGAACAATAAATTCTGACTTTTCTAGAAGTTTCTCGAACACTACAAATTTTCTTTGATTTTTCTTCACATGAAGCAGTGGATATGGAAGAAGTTGTAGACACCAAGCAATTCTTGAATATGCCAGCTACTAAAAGTACTGGTTTTTTCAGCAGCAAATGCCACTGGATGAATATTTTTATAAATTATAAGCAGATGATCCCTATTGGCAGCAGAATCAACAGTTGATCAAGGAGATACAGTACAGCGAGACTACGGCTAGTGAATGTTAAATAAATTGTAGAGCAGGTTAGATCTCTCACAAATGTACAAGATCCAGAGTTTCTGGAAGAGAAGTTTTTGTCTAATGACCAATTTCACAGACGGTTAGCTCAGGAATCTGTTTTAAACACCAAGAAATATAACACGAATTAAAATCCTGTAAAAATTTAGAGCCCTGTCAGAATGGTTAGTACACTGAACACTGTAAGAATAATAAGTGTTTATATATAAAATATTTATCATAAATATCTGGGAAGGAACAGCCCTGCGACCTTGTAGTCTTCTTTACTTCCTTGTCCTCTTTTTTATGTCACAGTGGCACATACACGCAATGGAATTGCGCAAATCTCATTCTCTGCCCATGGAAATGTTATTACAATTATTGTCACAATAAATTATTCTATGGCTGAACAAAAAACTGTGTAAACATGGTGCATTTATGGATGATTCTTCATAGGTCAAACTAGAAAGGGTTAAACAGTGTCTGTGGCTGGTGAAAGCGTTCGTGCATTCAACAATGTAATATCACACAAAGAATGAAATTCTAGTGACAGCAACCTTTGACACTGAACTACTTCTGGCACAGTACCAGATGTACTGCTCCAGCAGAAAAACATAAGCATAATGGCTAATGATTAATGCAAGAAAATCACGAATATCACAGAAAATTCAAGCTTTAATTTAGTATAGGCTATTCTTAACTAACCTGATAATTTCTTCTTGATATGAGGTTAACACGACAGCCAATGTTGCGATTTCCTCACTGCCGTATTTGCCACGAGTACTAATCTTTTTCTCTCGCAACTGTACATCTCCCAGGTCTGCATAAGTGGCACTGCCTCCTTGTGGCATTCTAAGGTGAAATTAGGTTTTATTGCCTTCGCGTGCATGCCTACTCTGCCACTTATACTTGCTTTATATAAACGGCAGCACAGGCACACTAAACAATATCTATAACCGCAGTGCTACTGAGCATTTTGTGAAACTCTGAGCAGGCATCACCAGTCAAACACAACAATGAATACTAAAACGGGCAGCACAAAGAAATTCACTCACGCCATTAAAAAATTCATTGAGTTGGTCTTTAAGCCGCTTTATTAGAGGTATAAAATAGGTATTACCTGGCAGCAGGTGATGGAGCTCTTTTGCTGGATCCTGGTCTGCTGGACATCAGGTCTCCGAAGTCATTATCAGGCAGCACAAACTCATTGTCATAGTTAGGAAATGGAATAATTTCCGACTCGTGCTGTAAGAGAGTAAGTTCTGTTAGAATAGGATGTTATCAAGAGATAGACAACAATTTAATGCCAGATGCCATTTTTACCATTGTCGCCACTTTGGTGCACATCTTTTTACACCAAACCTCAGCTTTTATACAGCCTTATGCTGCCCAGGCTGAAAATGGCACTGGTATAGTTACATTTTAGGTTGCTCGAAACAAAAAAAAGTTGAGCAGTTGGTAAGGATTCATGATCAAATAACACAAGCATTGAGACTGATTCTAAAGAAGAGATTATGACCAGTGATGTTCCGCACCAGATCAAAGAATTTCCATTAAGAGACATGAAAATTCCCTATTTAAGATTTTTCCCTCCAAACGTTCACCGAATATCCAGCATATTTCCCTGCACGACTAATGTTCCCTACTAAATTCTGCCCCCATCCACGCACACACATACTTTAATTACAAGCGTCTGACGTACAGGCGACTTTTGAAATCATGACTAGCCCCTCCACTGCCCCACAACAAAAGCATGACTTCATTAATTTATATACTGTTAGTACACTGCACATTATGGGCTTCAAGTCCAACACCAATAGTGAACAAGTAATCCCTCCGTGTAAATATTAGAAACATATCTCAAGCAGCATACTTGCGTTGTGCATACGCCAGAACAGATTACAGAAAATGAAGGCGCACTGTGACCACTAATCGCTGGTGGTCACAGGAGATTTTAACCATTTTTAAAATTCCCTGCAATATCGCAAAGATTCCTTTTCCCTGTGGCTCAAAATGACAGGTGAAAATTTCCCGAAAAAGGAAAAATTTCCTGCACGAAACATTACTGGTCATGATTGGGTTGACATTGTGGAGTTACTATCATCCCCTGTGAAGATTTGCCTCGTGGCACACCCGTGTTCATCATCGTCATCATCATTTAGTGCAATAGCGGTGGCAGGGCCACCTTGTGGTTAGACTAGGTGTCCGCACAGACAAGATTCGGGACTCTGCTCGACGCGGGGCAGCTGGCGCGAACAGTTGTCTCCCTTAATGGGGTCATGGGAGTGACACCCTGGGTCATCTCCTGTGGGCCTCTCATGGCGAGTGGAACGTTGGCGATGCCGGCTTCATATCACCCTGTATTTGTTATGTTAAGTGCATTATAATATTGCATAAGATTGTTATAGTGTGTCACTAGTGACATATTTGACTCAGCTAGCGATATAGTCGATAGAAAAGTAGTTGAATAAATGAACACGCTGTTTGGTGTGAACCGACCATGTCTGCGGTGTCTATGTCACCCAAGAGTGGGGCTCTTATTTCAAGACCCCACACGTTTTTGACTGTACACACTAGGAGTGATGTAACCCTCAGCTGGCTGTCTTCTGCACATAGTCTGCGCGGCTGACCAGGAATGCGGTTGTGACACCAGGCGATGAACATGCCTGGGACCTGTGCAACTGCCTGCAGCCCAGCTCTTTCGTGAGTGCTGGTTGGAACGAGAAGACGTCTCGGTGCGATTGACACTTTCTCACACCCACCGCAATGTTGCTCGTTATAAAGTCATCGAGCCGGACAGTGCAGCAGTGTCGACTGGCGGCGGTGTCGTGGTACATGGACATTCTTTAGGGACATCTGTTGTACTCTTTCATGCAGCATGTGCAGCTGATAAATTTTAGTTTTTTGTGCTTTTGCTATCATCTCTTGTGAAGTCATTTGCACCTCGTCGCGTACGTGTCTCACAGATGGGCTGCATTTATTGGTAACAACCATCGAGCTGTAGGTGGCGCAGTGCTCGCGCAAGTTCATCATCACCATGGTCAGCACAGCAGCATTGGGGGCTGCCCCGTGGCAAGGCTAGGTAGCCGCGTAGGAAAACTTCGGGACTCTTTTGAGCACAGGGCGGCTAGCGCGAATGGTCGTCTCCCGTTGGCCCCTCGTGTTGAGCTGAATGTCAGCGACGCCCCCTTCCGGTTACCTAGGATTCGTTGTGTTGATTTAGTGCATTGAAATATTGTATAAGGTTGTTTTAGGGTTTTACTAGAGACATACTTAATTTGGTTAGCGATATTGACGTAAAAGTAGTTGAATAATTGCACAAAATGTTTGGTGTGGGTTGACTGCGTTTGCTGTGTCCGTGTGTTCCGTGAGCGGGGCTCTCATTTCGAGACCCGACAATTTCAGATTAAAAAATAGCACGAAGTAAAAGGGAAGAAGGTGAAAGAAAGGAGCTTCATTTTAGAACTATAGAACAAAGAAAGACAAAAGATGTTGTGTTGAAGACAAAACAGAGAAAAGAACGTGAAGAAGAGGAAGTATAGAATGGACATGAGAGGGGACAAGGCTGGAAAAGAGAAGAGGCGTGAGTGAGAAATAGCACTAGCCTTGCGTTTTATCATTGATGTAATGCTCTGAGGATTGCCAATGGCGACTTGAAATGGGAACTCTGATACTTGCGGTGTAAAGAAGTGTCATGATTATCTCGGGTGTGCTTGCAATTAAGATAGTTTGAGAAGAAAGATGAGAGATTGTGGTGGGAAGGCACACACATTATCAAACCAAGAATGAAAAATGCACAAAATTTACGTAACACGCACAAGCACGAAAAACTCATCTAAACACTAAAATCAGAAAAATGAGCCACGTTAGAGCCAATCATAGCCCTAGCCAGCTTATAGACCTATTACTTGTTGGTAATCAACAGAAGGTGCCATCGATACATGTTGCTGAGCGTCGATGTCGCGGTGCGTGGGCTCCGCCCAACCATCCCAGCCAAAAGCATGCTACCACCCTCATGATCATGTGACAACTGGCGCAGAAAGCGCAAAAGCTGCCTCCGAGCACGGCCCGCATTTCTATGAGTGGCAGCCGCAACACAGGAGGTTGCATATGAGCCTTGTTGACGTGTAGCTATAGCTTTGAGAATCTAATCAAAGCATGAGGTATTTTGACAGCATTGCGGCATAACGGGATGTGTACACATATTTTAATTTGTTAACATTGCGAAATCATCGCCGTTACAATAGCCTATAATGGACCTGTACATTTTAATCTGTTAGCATGATCAACATATTAGAACGAGTTCAGAACAGGGCGATCGGCTTCATTTTTAACAATCTAAGTATCAGTCTGGTGTCACACAAATTAAACTTAACCTCCCATTCCTTGCTGACACAGTTTCACAAATTCATACACTCAACTAAAACACTGACATGCTTGACACAACTCCACTCTATGTCACCCAGGCTTCATAATCATCTTAGCTTTTTGTGCATTTATGAATCAACACATGCATTCAATAGGTCAGAACTTCCACGTGCTGTCCGATGATGGAACTCCCTGCCAAATAGGATCCTATGTCTACTAAACATTAATACATTCCGTGACACATTAACCAGTTATCTGGCCAAGTAAGCGCAAGGCAATCGGCCATTATAGCTGTACGCCCGTAGTGTCACTTTAACCCTTCTTTGTTGTTATTGATTGCATCATTTCATAACAGCCCAGTGCCTTTGTTTTTCTCTTCATATGTCAAACAATTTATTGTATAAAATCTGAAGTTTGCTTGACTATGTTATTTTCTAGATGATGCCTCCTGTGATTTGTTTTTCTGTTATATGTTTTATCTTTGATAGTGTTGAGATTTCTTTTTTACCAGTGCTGCCGTAAATACTTTCTATTGTACTACGCTTTGTCATTTGGTTCGTGAACGCTGTTCACGTAGTTGTATTTTGTGAACAATAGTGAAATTGCACTTTTTGTATTGCCCCCCTTACACTATGCCTCAACAGGACCCGTAGAGTATTTTTAAATAAATAAACAATCTCAGCACGTTTTCCAATTACAGTTTTCCTGCGATTTCTCACAGACGTGAAAACCTCATGAAGTGCACCGTAGCAACAATAGCCCTGCCCAATACACTTGTGTCAGGTGTGTCATAGCAGCCGCGTATAAACAGAAAAAGCATAGTTTAAATCGATACTATCATTCATTCGCTGCTGCTTTAAAGAGCCACTCAACAGGCCCCATACTGAATTTTAGTTAGACAGTGGAAGTTGTTGGGTGTCCGATGAGAAACATTTTGCCACAAAATGTTTCGGATCGGTTCCTCTCGAGCAAAAAAAACAGGTTTTTTAAAGCGGGGCGAAACGAGGATGAGAGGTGGCGAGCTCGAAACTTTTGCCACTCCTCCGCGTAGCCTTAGCAAGCCAAAATTTCTTCCCCCCCCCTCTCCGGCATCCGACCAAGAGGTGACGTGCGCATGACATGCCCAAACAAGTCCAACCCCCGAGCACGCGAGCGGAGTTGCTTTCTTGACCAGCGTTATTTTGTGGTCTTCTGCCTGTTATTGCGAGATCGTTTGAAAACGCGGGCTTAGACGCGGTAGAATTGTTGAGCACAATGAGTGCGCAAACGCGTAAGAGCGTTCCAGGGCGGTCGTCTGCTCAATGCACTGACCGCAAGGACCCGAACGCATGGGAAACGCTGGCACATTAGCCCTGCATCTTGTAGCATTTCACGGGAAAAAACGAAAGAAAAACAGGCACAATTTTTTATTGCATCTCATTATTTATTTCAAGTTTTATTATTCTCTTGAAGCAACAAATACATAAACTATGCAAGTTGTGTTAAATAATTTTTGCCATGTCACATGGCATACTGCCACGTTCCATTTCACAAGTTTTTGTTATCGTTCCGAAACACCACACGATTCTCGGCGCAAACCGCGCCTGCAGGTTTCGAGAAGGTTCCGGACTGTAGTAGATCGATTCGATAAGGTCACGCCCACTGTGCGAACGGTACGGATTGTTCTGGAACCTACGCCACCGCAAGCGATAACGCTAGAACATTCGACGGCAAGGGTATAAATGCCGACGCGCTTCGCCGCTTGTCAGTTGTTGATCGAAGGCCGACGCTGCGTTCGCCGCTATCAGTCCGAGACTGCTATCTGTGCAAGACTGCTGCTGTAATTAGACTTTCCCTTTACCAGGCACAGGTTCGCCCAAATAAACAGTTAAATCCCA